TAAATATAATTTTTCTAATTTTGTTATTATAATTTATATAATATATATAATTTATAAATAATTATTTTTTTAATTTTAATTTGATATATATTTTTATTTTATAATTATTTAATATATATTTAAAAAATTAATTGATTATAATCCATTATTTAAAAAATTAGTTAATTATAATCGATTATTTGAAAAAATAATTTGAAAAACTAATAGATCATAATCAAATTTAAAACTAATTTATTAGTTTTTCAAATATTTGATTAATTTTTTAAATATATATGAAATATATATATATATATATATAATATTATAATATTTTATTTAAAATTTATAGTTTAAAAAAGTTATATATTTATTAGATTATTAATATATTCAGATTTATTATTAAAAATAGTAAAATAATATTTTTAAAATATATTATTTAATATTATATTTATATTTTTTTTGTATAATTAGTACTTCTTAATTAATTTATTTCTTCATCTCTTATTATTTAATATTTCTAATAAATTTAATAATACATCTAAAAAAATTCTATTTTACAACATTTAACAATAAATATAAATATATTGTTAATCTAATAAATATATAACTCTTTTAAAAGTTATAATTTTAAATTGCACAAATTTTAAATAAAAATTTATAATTTTACATATATTTTTTATTCACAAATTTTTTATATAATGTACTAAAGATTTCAAAAATGTTAATTATTTTTTCTATCTATAACTTATTTTGATTTCTAAAATATATATATATATATATATATATATATATATATATATATTCTAAAATATTACAAACTACACACAAAAAATTACATTTCAAAAATATAATTTTACATAAAAATATTATTTCATTTTATATACATATAATTTTAAGATTTTTATTATCCTCTTAATTTATTATTATTTTTTTTTTAAATATTATAACATCAAATAAATCAAAAAATAAAAAAATAATAATCATATAAATATAATATTTAATAATAAATTTTAAAAGTATTATATTACTACTTTTAACAATAAATCTAAATATATTATTAATCTAATAAATATATAAATCTTTTTAAAATTATAATTTAAAACTATAAATTTTAAATAAAATATTATAATATTATATATATAGAGAGAGACATAATTAAACATGCAAAGGCTCTGTATCTTAAGCCCTAATGCATTCGATATAATTAAGTGACCTTGTATTTGTACATAACAGATAAACTAATTTAAAAATCAAAATTATTGCTCTGAAAATGCATTGTACAGCCAGAAGCAATGCTTACAGAACAACACCAGAAGCATAGAGGGAAGTACATCATCTAAGTTTTTCCTCTTTATCATAAAACACAAGAAACACGAAACACTAATTTCACACATACAGTTCACAGAACCCAAACATAACCCATCTAACTCCTACCGAATCCTAGTGCCTACCCATCACCCTTGACCTAAACTTAACCAAACCCAATCATCACAAGATCAACCTTAACAACTAAGTGCATATATACTGCTAAAAACAAGCACCTAAACAGGTTACCTTTCTCAATCTGGGAAAGAAAATATTGAGGTGTTTGGTATTTGACTTGGAAGGGATTGTGGTGGTGTAGGGCATTTCCTTAGGAGAAGCGGGGGCTGGTTGAGTAGCTTCATCAAGAGCGACTTGCTCCCATTCTCTCTTCAACTGCGTGAGATAATCTTCTTTGGCCTTTTCCAGTCTCAGCCTTCCACCCTTCCACAGACACCCATTATACTGCCATGTCAATAGAAAGTAAAAATTAGTCACTGAAAAACAAAAATTGTATATATTATTAACATATACACAAGCTCTAAATTTTGCTAATCGGAATTCTTTCTCTGTTTTTTTTTCCTTCTTATCTTTTCTCTCCTAAGACCATTACTTGGCTACATGAATGACACAATGTCATTGGTAATTATGGAACACAAAAAATAAATTAAAAAAAAAAAAAAACAATTGTTAACTCTTGCCTTGCTGAAGAGCTTGGAAAGGGATTTAGGGTCGGAAAGGAAGTCGAGGTAGGCGAAACTGCGACCTTTGGTTCGGATGGTTTGGACGGCTTGGACGCTACCAAGAGAGGAGAATAAGCTTCGAAGGTCTTCGGCGCTCACTGCCTCCCCCAATCCTCCGATGAAGATTCTCACTGCGTTTTTCGTTTCTTCCACTTTCTGCTCCATGCCTGCTTCTATCAACCTCTGTGTTCAGCTCCTAGCAACAATGAGGGTTCTTCACAGTTTTCAATTGGCACCTAATAGGCCAGAATGATGCTAATTTAGATGCTCGCAAATAGGCCAGAATATAATATTCATCATTCAAGGCAAAAATGTTAACATTATTACTACCAGAAGTAGGAGACCTCACTCGGATAATTAATCCAAAATAGAAACGTTCAACAACCACAAAAAAAATCAGAAGGGGATAAAACCCAATTGGTGAAACCAGGAATTGATCAACAACTTAGTGATGTAACCATCTATTCATTTTATCCCAAAATCACTAATCAGTTCAATGGATCACAAATGCAGTCTAGTCCAGATACAATCATGAAGTTACAAATAACAAAAAAACAAACAAAATCAAATCCTGCAACAAGCATATGACAAACAGAAACAACCCCCTAATTTCAAACCCACTCCATTAACTCTTGCAACCGAAAACATAATCAAACCATTAACCCGAACATCTCAGCAAAGAGAAAAAGGGAAACAGAAGCGCAGTGAGAGAGTGAGGCTCACGGAGGGTGACTCTGTGGAGGCCGCGACCTAGGTGGTTTGGGGTGGTGGTCTACAATGAATATGAGGGCTCACGGGAGGCGTGAAGGTGGCCACGCTCGGATTGAAATTGAGGGCCGCAGGAGTGAGGTTTGGGGTGTTGTCCAGAGTGAAGGCTCACGGAGGCGCGGTGAGAGGGAGGAGAGGTGGTCGATGCCAAGGTTAGATGGCGAGGTGTGATTCGCGGCTGAAGGCAGGATTAGGGCTGGTGGGTGAAGGGGAGAAGGGGACGGCTGTCTCGACCTGCGAAATTTTTCCTCTATACATACAGATCTATTTCATCCCATTTTCATATTCTCTTTCTTTCTCCCTTTCCTTTGCATATTTGAGTGTATTTCGCAATCTTTCTCCCTTTCCTTTGCATATTTGAGTGTATTTCGCAATAATGAAGGGTGGAGAATCCTCATCTCGGTATAAACGTTCTCGAGGACCCGTCAGTCCTCAAGATCCTACCCAGTTAACAGATCAGCATCAGTCTAGACTTGCCAACATCCACCAGTACACTTGGCATCCTATGCTCTGCTTGGATTTTGGAATTCTAACCATCTTTGGTTGGGATCAAGATGTGAGGAGGTACATTCAGGGTATAGGATGGGACTTCCTACTCCAAGAGCCGCCTTCCCGCATCTACCGTACTGCCACCATGGAGTTCCTCGCCTCTGTCACACTGGTGGACCTGCCATCTATGGTTCCTGGGGTCCCTTGTCCCTTCTGTTAAGGCGGTCTCGTATTGGATGAACGGGGCCTATAGGACTACATTGTTGGACGAGTTCAATGTCATTATGGGTTTTCATCAGTATGCAGAGGTCCAGACTGTAGAGTATAGGCGCGCACATTGTGAGAGATCGGCCACCCTCACCATCAATGAGATATGGAAGGAGATCACTGGTTCCCAGCATGTTCCTGCCCATCTGAAGGACGCAGCTTTTCTCCCTCCCCTCCGCATCTGTCACAAGTTGTTGGCAGGTACTATCCATAGCAGGAAGGAGAGTCAGGGTAAGATTACCCTGATCTTTTTGCTATCTACTGTATGCATCGGGGTTTCAATGCAACCCCGGATATTTCTTTTTGAGGGCGTTGAAGGATTTTAGGACCCGGGGCCCAACACAGACCATTATGTTGGCTCCTCTTATCACTCCCCTGGCTGAGCATTGGAGATGCCCCGACGGAGAGGACATTCCCGCCGTCCTCCGACCAGAGTTTATAGATGGGTCGATGCTCACTCATATGGGTATTCTTGCCCGACAGGGGACTGGGTTTGTCTTAAACCCTCTCCTCTCTGTGGCACTCAACTTCCATGATATGGATTCATCACAGTCGCAGGAGATCCCCATACCTCCAAAGTTCCAGCAACAGCAACGACACTATGATCATGACTTCGTCGGTGTCCATCGGCATATTGATGACGTGCATGCCCATATGGAGAGACAATTTCAGGTTATGCGCCAGCAATATGATCGACTGACTCTGAGGCAGGAGGGGTATGATAAGAGACAGGAGGGATTGAGCCACAAGATGGACAACTTTAGCCAGAGGCTGGATGAGTTTGGCCAGAGTTTAAACAGCTTGATTCAGAGCCAAGAGAAGTTTCAGCGTCGTATGTTCCACCGGTTTCCCTCGCCAACACCTTCTTCAACGTCTAGCTCGAAGTCAGAGGATTGAGATGCTATGATGTTTTTTTTGTTACTCTCAATAGCTTAGGGTTTTAGTTGTTAGTTTCTATTTTCGATAGGTCGGTTGTACCCCAAACCTTACAAATTTAATAAATGAAATCTCTTTCACTCTCATTTATCTACTCTCATTTGTCTTTCCTCTATTATGGAAAATGCTTACGTGCATAAAAGAAACTAAAAACTAAAATGACACAGGCATTATCTCAAAAAAAAAAGTCAAATTTTAAATAATATATCGCAGAAAAATGCGAAATTAAATAAAAATCATAACTTTTAGATAATCAAACAACTCAAAGCAAGACAAGAGATTCTAGAACCCAAAGCTCCAGCCACCATCCTTCTACCTAAGAAAGAGAAGGCACAACCATCAACAAAAAAAAGCCGACGGAAAGGCTCAATCATCCCCAAGCGAATCCTTGTCTACTTAAGAAGCAAAATAAAAAAATAGCACCCTAAGGCTCAGCATCGCCATCATATGAGTCATCGAGCATATTCAATCAAGTCTCCGCCACATTCCCCAATGGAGAATAAAGACTTCACAAAAGTCCATCATCAAACAGTCAACAAGAAGAAAAAGAAAGAAAATTCTTCATCCTCAGCGGATACCCAAAAAGAAAAAGACCATGACAAAGGAAGATCAATAAATCCTCAAGTGGGTCACATCAAAAAAGGAATAAAACAACCAAACCAAGGAATCAGAAATTTCATTCGCCCAGTAGAATAAGAACTTCACAAAGCCAGCTCCCATCAGCATCAATCAAGGAGCCAAGACTCTATCCCCAAGAAACAACCAAAATTAGATCTCCGAGAAGTCAACCAATTCCTTAATGGATCACCAAAAAGAAAAATGTATTCCTAGTGAACATACTACAAAGACAATCTTGAGACTCATATCCTTCAGACACTAAATAAAAATGGAACTAATATAAACACTTAACAATAAACTTTTCATTTCCTTCATGAGCTAGAATATAATTACAGTATCTCAGTACTCTTGATGAATTTCTGCAAAACATCATGCGTCATGCAAAAGTTACAACATTCAAAAGAATGCAAACTATTTCAGATAACCAATATGTTATGCAGCAGGCCCAATGGAGATTTCAAGCAACCAACGGAGATTTCCTGAGTTTATCAATTTTCAAAGCAAAATGCATGGCAACATGCTCCATCCTAGCATCAACTAGAGCTTCCTTCAAGGTGCTAAACATTTTGGCAGGAGGCCGAATGCCCACATCCAACATTTCTTGAAAGTACTTACACGCTTCATCCAACTTACTTTCATGGCACAAGGCACAGATCAACGTGGAGAACATGTGCATTCCAGGAAGAATACCCTTCTCTTTCATCTCATCCCAAGCTGCCATCGCCATATCCAACCTTTCTTCATTACAAAACATCCTCACCATGATCTCATAGGTGCTCACACTAGGCTCACACCCAAACTCGCCACTCATTCTGCGAAAAACCGAGCAAGCCTCTTCAATCCTACGACCCTTTATAAGATGATGAAGTATAATATCAAAAGTTCGAGAATTTGGACCAACCCCGCATTTTTTCATCTCACCAACCATCCTATACGCATCATCCAGCTGCAATGACCAGCAATAAGCCCCAACAACAGCATTGTAGGTGGGAGCTTCCGGTGCAAAGCCACTAGCCTTAGATACCTCAAAAAACTCGAGAGCTTGGTTCAATCTCTTATCAGAACCCAAACCATTAATCAAAGTACAATACACATGGGGACTAGGTCTCACACCCTTAGCTTTCATCTCATGGTACAACCCAATGGTTTCATCGAATTTCTTAGCCTTGCAATACGCATTAATGATTATCCCATACGCAACAACATCAATCTGAAACCCTTTATCCTCCATCTCCCTACACACCTCATTGAGTTTGATCAAGTTCTGCAGCTGACTCCACCCTTCTAGCAAAATGGTGTAGGACTTGATATCGGGTTCCAACCCTAACTTCCGCATTTTATCAAACACCTTGTGGGCCTTCTCAACACACTTGGATTTACACAACACATCGATCAACCTATTGAAATCCGACACGTTCGGCTTCAAACCGTAACGCTCCATCTTCTCGAACGTCTCGGTTGCTTCCTTGGCCTTCCCTGCTCGCGCGTATCGCCGAGCAACGAGGGCAAAAGTGTCAGAAGTCAGCAACTTTTGTTGTTTCATGTCGTTGACCAAAGTCCAAATCACTTTGAACTGTCTGATCTTACCCAGTGCTTCGATCAACGCGTGGAAGGTCTCTGTGGTGTGTTTGAATTCGCTTTGCCTCTCGGCCCAACGGAAGAACGAAAGCGCGAGGATACCAGCATTGCTGAGTTTAGTCAAGACCTCGAGGACCAGCTCCGGCGAGAGATTCACAGGAAGGGTGGCAAGAGAGGCGGCGACGGTGGAGTCGCGGCTGTTGGATAAGATTCTGCAGATTGTTTCGGCGTCGGGGGTGGACCTAGGTTGGGCAGTGTGGAAGGCCAATGTGGAGTTTTTTGGAGACCCATAGGGAATTTGGATTGTTGGTATGGAGTAATGGTGAAATTTGGAAGTTGACGAAGGTGGAAGGGATGTTGAAGAAGATTCTTTGAGGGGAAGGAGGAGATTCGAGACGAGGACCCTTTTGGATGATCGAAAAAGTGCCATGGAATGTAACACTGACGGGGCATGAACATCTACGCAGCTCTCAAACTAAAACTTTCATCATTCACTGAATAGCAGTTAA